CCCAGCTTGGAACGCTGCACACTCACTGCAGCTTCCACTTATTGTCGTCCGTGGTTGTGGATTGGGAGCACTGTCCTCCTCCACAATGCCAAATTTTTCTCTTCACAGAGGATCACATGTACATAAAGGTAAACAGATTTCTTCTGTCACACCAGTATTTGGACCTGAGGAAGGTACCAGGTTTTTTCCAGTTTTTCAACAGTTTTGATTTTGAGGTAAGAGTCCCACTTTAGGTATCCAGTAATTCTTCAGAAATGTATTAAAAACAGCTGTAAAAATACAATGAAATCTCATTCTCCCATTGGTAGTTAATTACAGCCACATTTCTTATGTTTCATATTGGAATTAAAAGTGTTATTTCTGTGGGGTTTTTGTTGTTTTCTCAATACTAACGCACAATGAGTTGTGCTGTGTGTGCTCTGTGGGCACAATAAATATTCTATCCCGGCTAGCTACAATTCTTCTTTGAGTTTAGATTAGTAACATTGAGTTCAACTGAAGTATTTTAGGAGCAGCAACTTCTAAAATTCCATTTCCACTGCATGTTTGGGCTGCAGGCTGACTGTTCCCAATGGATGTTAGTGAATGAATGTGATAGAAATGGAAAAGAAGTCCAGAACGAGCAGTAGTAAGCCCTGAGCTGGCACTCAGAAGGAACCAGGGTTTTGTGCTGTTAGGAGCAGGTATTCTTTGGAAATGTCTAAATGTCTGATGGTGGTATTTTTCTTTGTGGCTTCCAGTACAAAACAGAGCGTGAGTGGATCCTCAGATTTCTTGGGGAAGGGCTGCGTGACAAACATTGCTATGAGCTTTATGACTACCAGAGGATTTTCCGGGTCATTCTTTCCTTTTCCAACAGTCCTGTGTGTGACGAGGGCTCCCAGGTAAGAATTGTAAAAGGAAGTTCCAAAAAAACCCCAAACCACAGAGGCTTGCATGGCTTCAAAATCTCAAGTACAAACCAGAAAGGAACAGCTGACTCTGCCTTTGCCCTCTTGAAAATCTGTTCCTTGTTTGTTTTGTGTATGTGTGGAGGGGGAAGTAATTGCTTGTGTCTGAATCAGTCCCATCCTTATCCCCTGAAACTGGAACAGGTGCCTGCCATCATGGAGCCTCATGTGGGTGTTGTGGTCTTGCTCCTACACTCGGGGCCTTTTCTTTTATTGGGGTCTCTGTTCCCCAGCCAGTGTATTTGTTACCTGAACAGTGCTTCAGCGGGAGGGAGACTCACGTGCCAGGAGCTCTCAGGTTTGGGAGCATCTACTCTTGAGTATTTCAGGTATCAAAACCTTGGACAAAAAGATAAAATTGTCTTCCTACCTGAATACTTCTTATAAGAGCAGCACCTGTGGTATGAAGCTTTGAAGGGAGAATGTCTTTCCTTCCCTGGTGTTGCTGAGAACAGGTGGTGTTCATTTTACCTTGAAGTTGATCAGATAGCAGCCAAATTGCTAATTTTAAGTTAGATAATTAGAGCCTGACTGTAAAAGAATAAGTTCCATTTTCTGTTTCAGAGACGTATTCTGGAGATATTACAAAGTGCTGCCCGTGTCACCAGAGCTGCCTATGAGCTGGTACAGGATCACAGCCTCCTCACATGGGTCCTGCACAGCTTGGAGAAAAGGTAACCAGAGAAGTACAGGAGAAATGGGAACAATTTTCCTGTGCACAGTAGAAGAATTATGTGGCTGAGGATGAAACAAGGGTGACAGACATGGAGACAGGGGCACCAAGGGCTGTACTGGTGGAACTTGCTGAACTCTGAGGTGTCCCTTGTGCTTTTGAAAACAGAATCAAGATGCTTTCAGGTTGTGGTAGGAGTGATGATGGTGAGAGGCTTTGTGATTTGGAAATGGCTTCCTTGAAAACCTGAAAAAGCAAAATGGGACTTTTGTGCTGGTGTCTCTACCTTTTAAATTTCAAGCACCCTCAGTTCACATTCCGTCACAGGGCCTGCTTCACAGGAAGTGGCGCAGTAATGGATTTGAGCTGTCTAGAACATTTCTCCTTCCCTTGCCTCTCCCTCACAAAAAAAACTCTTCTGCATACATAGAGTGCCCAAAAGTGCCCGTGATTATGGCCTTGATTATGGGTGATGGACCAGCTGCTGGTGAGGATCTGCCTTTCAAATGAGGTTTTCTTTTTTCTTCTTTTTTTTTTTTTTTTTTTTTTTTTTTTTTTTTTGTTTGTCTTTTGTTTTGTCTTTCAGGTTTCTGGAGAGCAAGGTGATAAATAAAATTACTTCCTTAGTCCATACTCTGTGGTTAACAAATACAGGAGTCAAGAGAGAAAACAAGAATCAATCCCAGGAGAACAGGAAGCTTCTTCCTATTCAGCTTGTAAATGAATTTCTGTGTGTTTTGGTCACATTAATCAAACATATTCGGTAAGTGCTGTTTTGTTCTTTGTTTTAGTTGGTTTGCATTTCATCCTCTGTCCAGTTTGAACTTTATTAAGGCCAGGAGGATTTCTTTATCTCTGCTGGATGGATGGCTTTTTTCACCTTCAGTTTGTATGTTGAATAGTGAATTTGGGTGAGATTTCTTTGACAGGAGAATTTAGGTGTTTGACTACATGGGGAATAAAGTAAAATGTGATGCACAGTTCCTGTCAAGTCCTTCGTCCCTAATTCCTGGCCATTCTGACAGTAGGGATTAGGAACTGTACTGGTGAATTAGCATGCATGGCACTTGTGTTTTCTTTTGACAGGACTAACGTAGATGTGGCCAAGCTGACTGAGTTGTTTGGCACCCTCAGCTCTCTGCTGGAATACCGTGCTGTTGTTGTGGAGGCTTTTAGGGAGATGAGGCGTTTCACGGTCAACGGCAGCGTCCTCTCCAGCAGGGAGCTGCTGCTGCTGCTGCACAAGTGGAGCCTTGTCAGCAAAGACCTGCAGCTGCAGGAGGACCTGCAGGCCCTGGCTCAGAAGTACCAAAACAAAGAATTGCTCAGTAAGTGCTGAAATAGTTCAAGGAAGGCATATTTTGTTGTAGCTGTTACAGACCAGCAGTTCAAGTGAGGCAAACTTCTCTGGAAGTAGTCCTAATACCTTCTGTCAGACTGATGTACCTTGAGGGAGGAGGCAAGGAAAAGGAAAGGTGTTTTTCAGATCTTCCTTGTGGTGATTTTGAACCTTAATCTCGAGTCAGGCTTTGAAAAGGGGCATTTTTAAATGAAATCTTAAGAGAAAAAGCAGTGCACAGAGGCTTTGTGCTCAAAGGTGTGAATCATTCTGAGCATGGATGGGATCTGAAAACAATGTGTAAGTAAAAACAATAAATAAATAAAGCAAGCATAAGTTAATAGTTGGCATCTCTTGTTGTCACCAGTTTTGAAGAAAGGAAAAAAAGCCAGGACTTGTGTGACTTCTCTCGTTGTCTCTGTGAACAAAAAGTGCAAGGAACTTGGGAGTGGGATGTCTTAAAACAATGCTGGTTTCCTTCAGCAGCACCTGCTTTTGGTGCACATTAAAGCTTCTGTAGGTTTGTTTAAAATGTTCTGTATCAGTTGAGAAAGTGTCATGTATTTAAGGGATTCTTTAAAAGCTTTAGCTCTTCTACCGTTTTTTCACCCTTTAAAACTCCTCAGAAAGGCCTGAAGAGGGTTTTTGGAGTGGTGCCTGTAACTTACTGCATGTGTACGTTGTGTTGCTCCAGGCTTCAGGAGCTTCTCTTGTCTCCAGGCTGGGCGATCCAGTTTGGAACAGGATTCCAGCCTGGAGTCCCTGGGAGCTCCCAGAGCCCCTTTGAACAGCGCAGGCTCCATGAGGCTGCTAAACGAGGCTGGTACTTGCCATTGTAACAACTGAACCAACACAGGAGAGCACCTTACTTGCACAGTTTTGTACCAGGAAAATCCTTTGGAGTATCTGATGTTTGTTTTGGTGGTGGTTATCTTACAGAAAATATTAAAGACACGAACAAACCTCAAGGCTCATCTTATGTGTGTCGTCACACTCGGAAAAGGACCGAGGTGGAAGATGATGACCCTGCTGCAGACGTGCAAGTGTCTGAGCTGGAGAAATGCAGAG